CGACTAGATACGTTATATGGTGTGTTTATAAATAAGATATAGGGAAGTCATTTAACACAATTGTTTTTTAGGTGCAGGACATTACTACCCCCACCCCACGATCAATTACCGCTGCAATAGGACATTTGGATTCTCTACTTCAGCTGGCAGTTGATTTGTTCGTTGCCATAGAACATAATTTCTGATGGTTTTAGAACATTACCCCCTTTTAAATTACCATTCGAAATAGTTATTGGATAGGGGTAAGTTAATGTTAAGTCAAATCAGAGTTAGGGATAAGGTTTTGGATATGGACAGTGTTTGGGATATGGTTAAGGACAGGTTAGGGAAAGGGAGATGGATAGGAAACTGGATACAGATAGGTGCAATTGTAAAGAAAGGGGAGTAACTGATCCAGGGTAATGATGGGGGAGGGGGGGGGGTGAGAATGTAATGTCTCAGACCTGTGGGGTTTTTTTTTACGGCCTATACATAAATTAGATAAATTCTCACGTGTAGGTCTATAGGCTAGTGAAGTAAGCCTAAAAGTGACTTCTGATTGTCTTGACATAACCGTAGTAACACTAATATAATGAACAACATGTTGAGTGAGTTTTTATTGATTTTTATTTCATTCCATCTTATACCTGCAGTGGCTAGGGAATGCTCCCAGGTACATACAGGGTTATGAAAGTTTAAAGGTTACAAAAATACAAGTTGATTAATTACATGATTAATTAGACTTCACTAATTATAATTAGAAAACTATCACCTACCATATAAATAGAATACAAAACAAACTGCTAAGTATAAAAAAAATATAACTAACAAATAAATTTTAATTAAAAAAAAAAAAAAAAAAAAAACTAATACTTTGATCATCATAGCATTCAACAACTGAAATAACGAAACAAACAACTGATTGGAAAACTTTTCAATTAATAGAGGCTACAAAGTATGGTTTGGATGAACTTTAGTTGTACTAGAATAAATTATAATGTAGTCGCCTTTATGACAAGAAAAATTGTAGGCTATAGAGAAGGACTATACAGGCTTTGTGCTCCTATTGTTCTTTAGAGATATTTGTTTAAAAAAAATGTATAAAGCTAAAGCTGATGACTTAAAGGTTCATAACCTGTAACTTTAATAAAAATGTTTTAATTACATTTTAAGTTACATTTTAGAACTAATCCACGTTGAAGTGCTTCATAATGATGACTAAAGGAAAATATAGCTGTCAAAAATAGTGAATGTTTTTAAATTTAAAAAAAAATTGTTCAGTTTATAATTTATTATCTTAAGCTGATATGGAGTATGTAAACTGATAGCACATTTGATATTGCTTATATCTAGGCCTACAGAAAACATTTAACATTTTAAGTCTCGGCCCATAGGAAATTTACTTACATTTTAAGTCTAGGCCTACAGAAAACATTTTACATTTCAAGTCTAGGCACATTGGAAACTTACATTTGAAGCAAACAGAAAACTAAAACTTAAGATTGTTTAATCAAACATTTCAAATAAGCAATATTCAATATATCTTAAATTATTTTTAAAAAAATGATACCTTACAAATTACGTTAAGCCTGTATTAATATTTAGTTCAATCATTCATGTAATTCTCAACCCAATAAAAACTGAAACATTCAAAAGTGAACTGGGTCAACAAATGGAACAAAAGAATGGTTCATAATATCAACAGAATGAAAGCACGGTAAGGTCAAACATAAATACATTGGGTTAGTCTATGTGCAGGGTTAAATATGTTTTTGTTCAGAATCAATTTTCTATTTACACATCAACCAGTGCAGCTCCACTATGGGAACTTCACAACCCAAACATTTGTGCTCAGTTTTTGTGTTTTAATGACAAAAAAATTGAAACCAATTTAAAACTGATAATCTGTACAGAACCCAATTGTTAGTTTTTAAGTATACATTCTTTGGAGATATGTTTTTAATAAAACATTCTCTTGCTAACATATTTAGTTTGAGGAACAATCAAGAATATACAATCATTACATTATTTCAGTACAGGTAGCACAGGTAACAGATCTAGCTTCTTTTTGGGGGGGGGGGCTGGAGGGGGTGGGGGGCTTCAATATTCTGAGCCTGCCCCTCTATACATTTATATATGGGTGTGGCAAATTAAGTTTACCCCAGGGGATAAAATATGTGTTTACTCTGTACTCGTTCCACATAGATTAAATAGCTTTACTTTCAACATTGCTTTACTGATCAATTTGTTAGATTTAAAAAAAAAAAATTACAATTGTGATGAGGTTTGAGTGAATACATGACGGAGACATGAGAAACTTTGTACCACTTTCTTGTCCAAACAAGGACATCCTGTACATCCTATACTGGCATGTTGAACACAGGGCTAGGGTTAGATTTTAAATAATGTTCAGTACAGTATTGGGATAAACTGTAACAAACTTGTGGTTTTTGCAATACATAAATAATATAGTTTTAAAATTGCTTGTTTATAGTTAGGTATAAATGTTTGGTTATCAGTTCAGTTATAAAGACATTTAGAAAATAAAAACATTTCTCTGTTTGAAATGTGAAGCTCCATTTTAAAAATGTCACTTGACATAGGAGCTGGATGTTAATTTGTGTGACATCAATCCTGACATTTGATGCCACTGGATGATTTACATTGTTTTGTGACATCTATACCCTGCTATAGCAATCCATTATAACTGCTTGACAGTTGAGATCTGCCAGATTAGTTTTATGTCTCTTCACTCAAATAAAAAAATTAAAACATCACTTTATATAAACAGAGCAAAACAAAAAGAGATGAGTAAGTTGTGTAGTGATACAGTTCAGTTTTATACTGCTAAGTTTTCCAGTTTGTGTGGTATTTGTTATTTTTATATTTCTCAGTTTTTTATATTATAAATATACGCTAGCTATTAAAAAGTGTAACAACCACTCATATTTTCTTTCATTAGCAGGTGAATGTTGAAACCTGACAGCTATAATTATTTTAGAAGAAATTTCTCAACAAATGTCTTCATTAATTAAATTTTGCACAGTTCATTAAAAGATGGACCTGAATGTATGAAACAAAAGAAAATTTTTACTTAAAAACTAGAACACATCAAATTTGTACCCACAAGTTTTCAGTGGAAGATTGTCTTTTGTCTGCCAAAGTTCATACTTAAGACAGTTTGATGGGTTACTGGATTGGCATAATGACAATCTTTGCAGGTGCCACTATATGTGCAGGCAAAGACAGCACTATATCTGCAGGCAAAGACACCACTATATCTGCAGGCAAAGCCACCACTATATCTGCAGAAACCACTGTAATAAATAGCATATGGTGCCACTATATCTGAAGACATGACTGGTATTAATTTTATAGCTCTGGACCCCACAGTGAAGACATTGTGTGGTCAATTGGCTATTGTGTGGTCAACTGACATAGCTGTTGTGTGTTCAACTGGCTATTGTGTGGTCAACTGATATGGCTTTTGTGTGGTCAACTGATATGGCTTTTGTGTGGTCAACTGATAAGGCTTTTGTGGGGTCAACTGATATGGCCTTTGTGTGGTCAACTGATATGGCTTTTGTGTGGTCAACTGGCTATTGTGTGTCAGCTGACATGGCTATTGTGAGGTTCTTTGGTTCAAGGAATATCTTTTTTGTATCCCACCATGTGTTTTACTAAACCATAGCAGCACCTGACAGTAACACATTTTAAAGGGTGGCTTTGTTTCACAGTCTCTAAGTAAAGATTCTGTAAGTAGGGTATCAAGTGGAATGTTGCAAGAAAAAAAAAATAGCAGAACAGTGTGATTGAAATCTGCGTTATAAAGTTGTATACTCAGTGACGTCATTCTTGAGTGAGCTCTCCCCCTCCAACGAGGGCAGCTTACACACGCTAACATTGTCCTCCTCAACGGGGACACATTTGCTCTTTAATTTGGCCACATTCTCGCCCTCGGCCACTTTCTCGCCCTCGGCCACTTCCTGCTCCTGGTCGTGAAAGCCCGACTCGGCGCTCTCTTCGTCAGAGTCGGCGCCATCATGGAGACAGTACTGCACGCCGTCGTCCCGCCTCAGCTCCTCCAGGTCGTTGCCGATCTCAAGGTCTATGATGGGCTCTGAGGAGAAGAAGTCTGAGCCCTCGGCTGACTCGAGGTCGAGGGCCGCCAGAATCCCGTGGTGCTCCGCGCCCTTGTGGAGGAGTCTGGGGGGTGAGGGGCCAGCACTGGCGGGGGTAGACAGCAGGCTCTCGTCGTCGCCGTCATTGTTGTTGTTGATGTTGATCCCATTCAGCCCGCGGCTCATCTTCGTCACCATCTGGTTCACCTCTTCGTCTTCTTCCTCCTCCTCTACACATTCGTCTTCTTCTTCGTCCTCCGTGATGGCGCCCAGCTTTGGCGCCGTCTGAGATTTAGAGACGGGCGGTCTGAAGTTGTTGGCCGTGCTCAGCATTTGTGTTCTCAGCGGTAGAATGTTGCTCTTCTTGGGCAGGTTTTTGGTGCGCTGGAAAGTTAGCCTGGAGGTTTGTTTCCTCAGTTGTTCGCGCTGGAACTCTTTTAGCGCGGAGCTCAGCTTGTGGTGGAGCTGCAGCGCCATTGTTTTGGCCTTGGCCTCGTTTTTGCACATGACCGCGTGGCAGCGAAGTTCCAGTTTCATTTTCCGTCCCTCGTGACGGTACACCCAAACAAACAGCTTGGGGTAGTCGGGGTGGGCGATACAGTACGATATCCGGTGGGCTCGATACTCGGTTAATCCCTGCTCTTTTGTGTACGCTTTCATACCCGATCCGGTGATTACAATTTTCATTTCGATACCCGGATGCTCACTCCGCATGTAATTGTTCCATATGATGCTCGTGGCGCGGTCTGCGCAGCCTTCACCTTTCATGACCGCGGTTTGGACGTTACCAAGGTAACGCACTTTGAAGGTGGGGTCCTGCTCGCTGATGCTGACGCTCTTCCGCCAGCCGAACAGATTCATCTTCCTCGTCATGCAGGCACCTGTCTGATGTGGTCAGCAAACTTGGAGCTCTCGTGTAGCTTGACCGCTACATGGTGCGGTGACCACTGAAAGAAGAGAGAGACACGTCATCAAATCCACGTCAGATAAATAGCTAACAGTGACATATAACGTAATGGTTAAAGCACCCAAATAAAGGTTTTTTTTTTTAAACATTTGTCCGTAGGATGGGGGGGGGGGGGGTAAATTATAAAGTTTTTCTATTTCTTTTAAGGATGGCTGTTAAAATCAGACCAATATAAATGTGAGACAAATCTAACATAATGCAAAAGGAAAATAACTAAGTAAATATTGTACGTAGACAAATCGGATAAAGCTTAGAGCACACTATTGTTGAACTATTGTGAGCCTATAGGTCAGGTGATCTCCTTATGAAATACTAAACGAGTGGCTGTTCTTTAGAACAAAACACAATAAACGTGGTGAACTGAATAACAAATGACAATGTGTGACGTGTTAGGTGTGTAGTTAGTCATGTGTTCAATGACAAACTACCCCCCCCCCTCCCTTTCTCCCTGCTGTGTCTAACAGGGTGACGTCCTATCATATAGCCCTCTATTTACTGACATCCTGTGCTCCCATTGACGTCTTGAACTGATGCCCTGTGCTCCTATTGAAGTCTTTTACTGACGTCCTGTGCTCCCATTCACGTCTTGTTCTGACGTCCTGTGCTCCAACTGACGTTTTGTACTGACGTCCTGTGCTCCAACTGACGTTTTGTACTGACATCCTGTGCTCCCACTGACGTCTTTTACTGACGTCCTGTGCTCCCATTGGCGACTAGTTCTGACGTCCTGTGCTCCAAGAACACAGCACGTTCGCAAGAACTTCGTTTTTTGGAGAAGGGGGGGGGGGGAGATAGAATGACTAGATCGGATTTCTAATTAATTAGACAGTAAATTGATAGCTTGAACATATTTTGCCTTGTCTTGAATGACTCACCCGTTCCTATTTTTTTCCTTGTTTAAAGAATTTAATTGTAACCTGATTTATTTATTTTTATTTTTATGTTTTTTTTTTGTTTTTTTTTTGGGGGGGGGGGGGGGATATTGTTAAATATCCCACGGCAACTCCTGTTAGGTTAGGTTTTTTTGTTAGGTCAAAATAGAGTTATTTCAAGCCTACCAACTCTCATATAAAAACAAAGAATTGAATGTTATGGGTTGCCATAAAAACAAAGAATTGAATGTTATGGGCCTACCAACTCTCATATAAAAACAAAGAATTGAATGTTATGGGTTGCCATAAAAACAAAGAATTGAATGTTATGGGTTGCCATAAAAACAAAGAATTGAATGTAGTGGGTTGCCATAAAGCGATGGTTGCCCCCCCCCCCCCCTGACAGTGACGTGACTGAAGGCCTCAGAGACCGATGTTGTGTTTGACGTATTGTTTGCTGTACATCGATTTTACGCTCAATTTATGCCGCTATAAATCAAGGCCGTCTTTTTCTGTTTGGTCGGGTCTGAGATTAGTTCCTACAGCTTCCATGGTGAGGTCTGAGATTAGTTCCTACAGCTTCCATGGTGAGGTCTGAGGTTAGTTCCTACAGCTTCCATGGTGAGGTCTGAGATTAGTTCCTACAGCTTCCATGGTGAGGTCTGAGATTAGTTCCTACAGCTTCCATATTGAGGTCTGAAATTAGTTCCTACAGCTTCCATGGTGGTGAGGTCTGAGATTAGTTCCTACAGCTTCCATGGTGAGGTCTGAGATTAGTTCCTACAGCTTCCATATTGAGGTCTGAGATTAGTTCCTACAGCTTACATATTGAGGTCTGAGATTAGTTCCTACAGCTTCCATGGTGAGGTCTGAGATTAGTTCCTACAGCTTCCATATTGAGGTCTGAGATTAGTTCCTACATCTTCCATAATGAGGTCACAATGTTGAGTATTTCATGTTACATCTACATGCCATCATGATTAATAAAACGAAAAGTCTCTGTATAAAAATTCAAATGTTTGTTTTTGTTCGGCAGAAGTCTTGATTTAATAACATTTTAAAAATGCCGTGTGATAGATTTGTAACCGACACTTTTTAAAATTAATCTCGTTATGCAGACAATAGAAAAACCAAATCTAAATTCTGACATAAATCCTCAAAAGTTTTGTCGATCTATCATTTCTAGAAGAGACGTCTGTGCCATGACGCCACTACCAGAAGTAATTGACTACGTCCCAACACCACCACAAGATTTGTGTACAAACAAACGACCCTCGCTTACCGCTTCGGTTACGGAACAAAATGTAAATTAGGAAGTTCTAAATTTAGAAATCAGATGTGACGTCGTACGGTCGTCGGTGCAGAATTCCAGGATATTGCAAAAGTTTAATGCAATGTAAATGTGTGTAACAAAGCGGGGCGTGCATGACGAATAGATTACACCGTCACTATTGTCTTACTGTCCCCATTGTCAAGCTTTTTAATGAAATTTATGACAGGGCGTACAAAAATTATTTTGTCCTTCACGGCCCGGACTTCATGTCGGCCATCTTTCTTGTGGCCAGTTTTTTTTAAAAATATTTTAACTCACAGCTAGAACATGTTAATATAACACAAAGGTGATGGGGGCTGGGTAAAAATGGGTGTGTTCTTGCTGAAAGACTTTATACTAGAATTGACTTCAGAACAAAATAAGATAGTTTTAGCATTATTAATTAAAATATTGGTGTGGTACATAGTGATGTTTGGTACTTGGTACGTGGGGGCAGTATGTGGAGGCAGTGTGGGGGGGGGGGGGCAGTGTCTGGGTAAACGGTGTGTAGGGGAAACGGAGTGTGGGGGAAACGGTGTGTGGGGGCAGTGTGGGGGAAACGGGACATGGTGTGTGGGGACATGGTGTGTGAGGACATGGTGTGTGGGGACATGGTGTGTGGGGACATGGTGTGTGGGGACATTGTGGGGACATGGTGTGTGGGGACATGGTGTGTGGGGACATGGTGTGTGGGGACATGGTGTGTGGGGACATTGTGGGGACATGGTGTGTGAGGACATGGTGTGTGGGGACATGGTGTGTGAGGACATGGTGTGTGGGGACATGGTGTGTGGGGACATGGTGTGTGGGGACATGGTGTGTGAGGACATGGTGTGTGGGGACATGGTGTGTGGGGACATTGTGGGGACATGGTGTGTGGGGACATGGTGTGTGGGGGCATGGTGTGTGGGGGCAGTGTGTGGGGACATGGTGTGTGAGGACATGGTGTGTGGGGACATGGTGTGTGGGGACATGGTGTGTGGGGACATGGTGTGTGAGGACATGGTGTGTGGGGACATGGTGTGTGGGGACATTGTGGGGACATGGTGTGTGGGGACATGGTGTGTGGGGGCATGGTGTGTGGGGGCAGTGTGTGGGGACATGGTGTGTGGGGATATGGTGTGTGGGGACATGGTGTGTGGGGACATGGTGTGTGGGGACATGGTGTGTGGGGGACATGGTGTGTGGGGACATTGTGGGGACATGGTGTGTGAGGACATGGTGTGTGGGGACATGGTGTGTGAGGACATGGTGTGTGGGGACATGGTGTGTGGGGACATGGTGTGTGGGGACATTGTGGGGACATGGTGTGTGGGGACATGGTGTGTGGGGACATTGTGGGGACATGGTGTGTGGGGACATGGTGTGTGGGGACATGGTGTGTGGGGGCAGTGTGTGGGGACATGGTGTGTGGGGACATGGTGTGTGGGGACATGGTGTGTGGGGGCAGTGTGTGGGGACATGGTGTGTGGGGACATGGTGTGTGGGGACATGGTGTGTGAGGACATGGTGTGTGAGGACATGGTGTGTGGGGACATGGTGTGTGGGGACATTGTGGGGACATGGTGTGTGGGGACATGGTGTGTGGGGACATGGTGTGTGGGGGCAGTGTGTGGGGACATGGTGTGTGGGGACATGGTGTGTGGGGACATGGTGTGAAGGGACATGATGTGTGAGGCAGTGTGTGAGGATATGGTGTGTAGGGAAATGGTGTGTGGGGGCATGGTGTGTGGGGACATGGTGTGTGGGGGAAGTGTGCGGGGACATGGTTTGTGGGGACACGGTGTGTGGGAGTAGTGTGCGGGGACATGGTCTGTGGGGACGAGGTGTATGGGGACATGGTGTGTGGGTACATGGTGTGTGGGGGAAGTGTGTGGGGGCAGTGTGTGTGGGGGCAGTGTGTGGAGACACTGTGGCATTTAGTGGGAGACACGGGGGGCTGTAATGCTTACTTTAGAGACAGTTTATGTGTTGCTGCAGTGTGTGTAATATGTTGTGTGGTACACGATATATGGTACACGATGTGAGGGCAGTGTGTGGGGACACGGTGTGTGGGGCATTTAGTGAGAGACATGGTGTTGGACACACGGTGTTTTGTGCATGGTGTGTGTTTCACAGCCACAGTAGCCGTAGGACGTGATTGTCCCCCTAGCTGATTGTCCCTCTAGCTGATTGTCCCCCTAGCTGATTGTCCCTCTAGCTGATTGTCCCTCTAGCTGATTGTCCCTCTAGCTGATTGTCCCTCTAGCTGATTGTCCCTCTAGCTGATTGTCCCTCTAGCTGATTGTCCCTCTAGCTGATTGTCCCTCTACCTGATTGTCCCTCTAGCTGATTGTCCCTCTAGCTGATTGTCCCTCTAGCTGATTGTCCCTCTAGCTGATTGTCCCTCTAGCTGATTGTCCCTCTAGCTGATTGTCCCTCTAGCTGATTGTCCCTCTAGCTGATTGTCCCTCTAGCTGATTGTCCCTCTAGCGGATTGTCCCTCTAGCTGATTGTCCCTCTAGCTGATTGTCCCTCTAGCTGATTGTCCCTCTAGCTGATTGTCCCGCTAATTGATTGTTCCCCTAGCTGATTGTCAAGCTAATTGATTGTCCCACCGATAGCCCCAATAAACGTGTCAACAGCCTAAACAGTTGTGCAACAATGTGACTGCCATTAAATGACATCTTTATTGCGTGGGCCGCAGCAGTCAATATCAACTGAAAGAAACCCCCGACAGTTTTGTATGTGGTGCCAGACTTGAAACACAATCACACTCAATACAATGAATTCAACAATGGAGGCGATAACATTTAT